TTCTGGCATCTGGGTGCTTTCAACACAAAAAATAATGTCACCCACAACTCCCATGCACTGTCCCCCCACTGTCCCCAGGGCAATTTGGAAAGCCCTGCTAATATTGCTGTTATAAAYACAGCAAGGGGAAGAAAGACTGCGGAAAGTGGAGGAAGGATGGTCCCTGACAGAGCCGAGGATTTGGCTGTTCACCAGCATGCCCTGATCCCAGTGCAGCACTGTGCTCAGCTCCCAGCAGCACGAACTGGTACCAGTGCCCAAGACCTGAGAAGGTGAACAAGCACCCATGGGCCAAACTCACCCAGCGTTTCCTGTGCCAGAGCTCACACACCTCTCCCGATGATGAAACTGTAGGTACAGAATCAGAATGGGCTCAGGTGCCTTGGGGGCAATGTTTTGATGGAGAAACAGCAGAACCATGGTCACAGAGCTCTTAAAAATTAAAATCCCCTAGCAATCATTACAAGATGCCTGTAATGACACCTGGGCAACACCAATGTGCCTGTGCTGTCCCTGCCCCATTCCCTGCATCAGCCAAAGGGTACTCACTCACTCACTCACTCACTCACTCACTCACTCACTCACTCAGTCACAACTGCCTAACCCAGGTGTTCTCTCTGTGCTGGTAAAACCCCGCTCTGAAGGCAAACTGCATCACCTCCCCAGCTCTTCCAGGGTACACTCTGCCAGAATGGTCCTTGTGTGATGCCAGGGCTGGGCACTGCGGTCTCATTTCCCTGATCTGAGGCAGTGCAGGGACAATAATGCTTTCCAGTTCCAGTGACTGACATACAACACCTGATTTCCAAGTCAACAAGCATTTTACACATCCAAAGATCAGTTCTATGGCGGCTCCGAGCACTCAGCAGTTCTGAAGGAGCATCTCCTCAGGTGCTGCTCCTGCCTGCATCATCACACCAAGCACTCTGTGACAAGGCTGGGCTCTGGAGACAGCCAAGTCCTCTAGCTGCTGCTCCCAGAACACCCTCCATCCCAACTGCCTGGGACAGGGATGCCAGAGCATGGCTCACTCAGCCACTGCCCAAACCGTTTGTCTGCTCCTGTAGCCTGGCTCCAGCCCTCTCAGTGCCTGCAGGGTACCTGGGCCAGGTTTGTGCCTGAGGGCATGTACCCACTCTCAGTTTAAAAAAAAAGCAAATGAACACATGAACTACAGTGAGTATGGGCTGAACACTGCCTGCCTTTCCAAGCACACCCTTGGCTGTGGAGGATCTAGTCCCCAGCTGCAGCATGCATTTTTGCTTGCCCCAGCAGCTCTTTGCAGGGGAAGCTGAAGGATGTTATCTGCTCCTCACTGGCTTACAGCTGGGCTGGAAGAAAGGCAAGTCCTAAGCGTGGCTTCAGTTGTTACATATTGAAGGCTCTGTCYTCAAAGGGAAAGCAAAGATCACAGCTGTTGCTAGAGGAACAAACTCAATTTCATTTGCCAAGGCAAGGGTAAAGCCTGGGGCACTCAGCTCCACAGCAGCTACCTCTGGGACGACCCTCTCYTCACCAATCTCCATCCTCAACAACTTTTAGCGTAGTCTTAGTCCAACCTCAACCTTACTCTCTTATCCCACACAATTCCAGTGGTGTGTGCTAAACCCACRTTTATTTCTCACCCTCTTCAGGTTYCTTCACCTATTCTTCGTGCTCTGGCTCCACCATCAGCAGAGTGTACCAGAGCTACAATCAATACTTGACTTGAGATAGWACWGAAAGAAATTAAGCTTATAGTTTATAATAATACATGCAAATCAGCTTATGCTTGGACAACAGAGCTTTACAAAATCTGTTCTYCTTTCCCACATATAAACTCTTTGTTGGTTGGAGCTGGGGTAGCAGTATGGCTCCAAGGAAAGGTCACCAGAACTATGGCCATCTGAGAGCCAAGGGTCAGTCCTTGCCTCCCTCTTTGCTGGAAGAAAATAAACGAATACAGAAAGAAAAGCCAAGCTGAGGCAGTCAGCCAGGTCAGRACATTTTCAGCTCAAACTCCGAACTTGGCAGAGTTATAAGCAACTGGAAACTCAAAGATGGGAACTTGCCGTGGGATAAACTGAACGATCAGAGCATTGGGCAGCAGAGACCAACTCCCTAGGCGGTAGAGTTTGGGGAACTCACAGACCAAAGAAACCCACCAAACAGAATCCTAGAGCCACAGAATGGTGTGGCTCGATCAGGACCTTAAAGCTCGTTSAGTTYCAACCCCCTGCCGTGGGCAGGAACACCTACTAGACCAAGTTGCTCCAAGCTCCATRCAGCCTGSCCTTGAACAGGCATCCACATCTTCTCTAGGACACCTATGACTATTCTTTACTACCTTCGAGTGATAAATACATACGAAAGTCAGGCTTTCAGAGGCTTCAACAGCAGCTCACAACACCGAGCCCGTGGGGTGCAGGAGCCGGCGGGACCCGGCAGCGGCGGGAGCGGGGCGGGGATGGGGGGCGGAGGGGGCTTTACCCCCGGCTCATCCCGAACGGGCGGGTACCACTCCCGAGCTCGCACTGCCCGCGGCGGCGAGGAGGAGGAGGAGGATGAAGAGGAGGAGGTTGAGGGGATGAGGAGGGGAGCGCCGAGGAGCCGGCGAGGAACCCGGCGGCAGCCGCTCCCTCCATCCCCGCTGCCGGACCCGCCAGCCCCGGCATCCACCCGCGGACCCCCGGCACCGCCGGCCCCGCACGGCCCCGCACAGCCCCGCACAGCCCCGCACAGCCCCGCACAGCCCCGCACAGCCCCGCACAGCCCCGCAGCCCCTTCCCGTGGCTCTCCAGCCCCCTGCCCGCTCCGCTCTCAGCCCCCAGCCCGTTCCCATCCCGGGTCCGGCCCCGCTCACCTCTCCCGGGGTCTCCCGGCGCCCCCAGCCCCGCTCCAGCCGCGGCCCCGCTCCGTGTGACACCGCGCTCCGCTTTCGCTTTCCCTTTCCCGGCGAAGGAGGGGCGGCCCCGGCTGCCGGCCGCCCTCGGGGAAGGGTCTGGGGGAGCCGGGGCGGGGGGAGCCCGGGGGGAGCGGCCCGGAGCCGGGGGCGCGCCTGGTTTGCGGGCAAACGGCTCCCCCAGCCCGCCTCTTACACAGCGAGTTCATCTTCCCTCCAGGCGCCCGATCGCGATGTTCCCCTGACCTGGAGCAGGACAGGTGAAAGAGCCCTGCAGCTCCTTGCCGAGGGGACTAGAGGGGTTATACAGACGTGTARATGTGACATTTGGGGACAGGRTTCARTGGTGGGCTTGGCAGTGCTGGGGGAATGGTTGGACTCGATGATTTTAGAGGGCTTTTCCCACCTGAACAGTTCTATGAGTCCCTGTAGATCTGCAGACCCAGCTTCCACAGGGTCATTTACCTCTTGGGACGTAAGTGGAGGCTTTTGGGATGTTGGTAGCGACTTTCTTCATAGGAAAGCAGCAGTCCCATAACAGGAGAGCTCCCTCTGACCAATCCCTCCCTGAAACTCYACATGAACTCTGGTGGCTTGGATAAAGCGATCAGAGCACTGAAGAGTTCTGATAGCTAAGAAGAATGAATGAATAAATCAAAAGGAAATGAAGTTGGTTCACCCTACAGGCAAAGAACCGTCCAAATGGTCACAATTAAGATGTTTCAAAAAGTCTCACTTTTAGCAGAGAGCCAACAGCGACTCAGCCAAGGAGAGAAGAGCTGGGGCTCTCAGAAGTGCTTAGTAGGATCAAGGACCCTCCTCCTCAGCTGGTCTGCAATATTTCTGCAATACCCCTCCTGCACAGCTGCTCAGTCCAAGAGGCAACTGCTCACTCAATCACTGCAGGCTTTAAAGGTATTTTCTTCAGGAATTTAGCCTGTTACCTGGTGTTCTTGGGCAGCTGCTGCTTATCACTCATTATTTACCTTGCCTCGAAGCAAAGCTGATGTAGGAGCCAGCAGCAGGGACACTTGGAGTTTGTCAGAAGGCAGTCAAGTGACAGAGGCAAGACCTGCTGGCATGAGGTCATAGATGTACAGTGCAAGTGAGGCAGAAAAGCTGTCTCCCTGCAGCCATGGACATCCATCTGCAGAAACTACTGGCTCTGCACAGTGCAGGCTCTGGACGTTTTTTTTTTTCTTGTCTCAGAAGCACTTGTTTCTGCACAAGGATTTCCAGAATGCTGCTCTCAGGCTCTGCACAGAATGACCCCAAATGTAAGAAAAAACACTGTGCACAGGCTGCTAGAGGCACATGGGGGTTTATGTGAAACCACAGATGGGTTTGGCTCGGAACAGATGTTAAAGCTCATCTCATCCCAGCCCCTTCCACTATCCCAGGTTTCTCKAAGCCTGTCCAACCTGGCTTTGAACATTTCCAGAGATGGGCCAGCCACAGCTTTTCTGGGCAACCTGTTCTAGTAGATATTTGACCCTCCACAGTCAAGAATTTCTTTTCAATCTTTAATCTAACCCTGCCCTCTGTCAGTTTGAAGCCATTCYCCTGTCACTCCAGGCCCTTSTSTCTCTCCAGCTCTCTTGGARCYGTTTTAGGCATTTAGGGGCTCTTAGGTCTCRCTGGAGCCTTCTCTGCTCCAGGCTGAACAATCCCAGCCTGCYTYCAGAGCAGAGGTGCTCCAGCCCTTTGGAGCATCTCTGTGTCCTCCTCTGAATTTGCTCCAGCAGYTCCATGTCCTTCTGATGCTGGGGGCCCCAGAGCTGGACACAGCACTGCAGGTGGAGTCTCACAAGAGCAGAGTGGAGGGGCAGAATCTCCTCTCTTGACCTGCTGGTTATCTTGAAAGGGCTTGTTTAATTTTAATGATGGAATCCCAGGGGCTGCAGGACTGCTGCTGTCTGTGYGTACACAGTGACCTCTCACACAAGGACCCAGGGTACAGACAGTCCAAGAAAACTCAGACTGGCTGTTAAACAATGAAACTTCACCCCAACCTTCACTCCAGCCTTTCAATAGTCTAAACATGAAGATAAAAAAAAAAGAATACTTCATTTAAAGATAMTTCCAGATATTTTATTCTGAATTTTACAAATAACAAGCATTTCTCTATAAAAAAACTAGGGTAAGAATCAATGTAGTTACAGCTAGGAATATTTACATTCTTCAAAGAAATTTATATATCTTTTTATATACAAGGCTRTGGCCATTACTGGTTTAAAGTACTCCCAAAGGCATTTCTAAGTAAGGCTTTATGGTCCAGAGCTGATTCTACATTTTAAGAAAAYAATTTACAACTGCCAGGACTAAGGTTCTATTCTACAAATACTGAAATAGGTATTGCAGTCCAACTTCCTGGGCAATGCACCCCCTCCCTGTGTACCCACTCACCCCAAATGCTCACTKAGAAAGGGGGGAGGAGTTCACACCTCTTCACAAAATCGTGTCAGAAGTCAGCCAAAGTTGCCTCATTCTAGAAGATTAAATACTAAATGATGCTCATGGGAGCATTACATTCACTGTCAGGGGAGTCAGAGATTCCAACAATGATTGACTGTGGAGCAAGAACACCACAAGTAGTTGTGATACCTTTTGAGTCAGTGGCATTTCCACCTGCAAGCAAAGAAATCAAAGGCACAGGATTATCTGCCATGCCTGAGATGACAACAGGAGTCAGCCTGAGAGCTGGAAAGGAAGGGATCCTTGTCCCCAGGGCCAGTTCCCTTGGTGAAGATATTGCAGTGTGATTGTTCTCTGGCGACAGGCAATCCTGCCTAACCAGGTAACTGTAAYTTGCATTGCTGCTGTGATACAGGTTACAGGCACCCAAACAATGCAGGATTTCCCAGGTTAAGGTCAGTCTGAATGTTAAAGTCTTTTTCATCTTCCTCCACAGCAGCATGAGCTCACAGGTYTATCTCAATGCCTCTGGGGTAAATYCTGTCCCTTCTCCTTGTTCTGCAGGTGTATTCATGGTCACACTCTATGCTACAAATCTGACCTGCTGCCAGCACTGACGCCACTCTGAGATCTGCCCATAACTATATCAGGTCCTTTTGTCTACATCTTGTTTGCAGGGGTCAGATCAGCTACCTATATYAGAATATTCCCTCAGTTTCTTTTGGAGATAGCTGGATTCTGCCTACCCACTACAACACGATCCTTGGTTTAGAGCTGAACTTGAAAGGACTAAGATAAAACTCTAAGTACAAAAAAAMCCCCAGTCTGCTATATTAATTATGTTGCAAATTTCTGACTCAGACTTTATGTTTTTAAAATCATAAGCAAGGGAAAACCCCTTTTTTGACACAAAGTGAATTGCCATTGAGTTTTGTAGTATTAGTCACAACTGGGAAGTTCCCTGATTTGTCTGGATATAAAAAAACAAACCAAACCAACTGTAACAACAGAAAACCCCACAAAGACCTYTAGTAAACATCAAAATATTTAAAAGTTCAAGAACAAAAGTCTCTCTTTCAGGGCACATACTTTGATAAAACAGTGGGTAAAAAACTACAGCTGAACCAGATGTTAAYTGGACACTTCAGGACTGGAATTTCCAGACTAAATCATGTATCAGGCAAGCATGTCTCTTATATTTTAGGGTATTTTCTGAAGCTGTTTACAGGAAGTCTTATGGGACATGGTTGTTTACATTGGCAAATTCATTACAAGGAAGTTGCARCTCAATGTGTTTTGCCTCAGATTCCTGTGGTTATCAGATCATTCTTCTACAACACACACAAAAAAAGCTGCTTCTCAATGTTCCAGTTCCCTGACATAAGGTTTACAAAGAAAAATATCTGTAACAAGTTTTACACCATACTCTCATGTCTGCAATGAATGTTTCAAAAAGGGTGTAAGTCTAACAAATCAGGACACGTTTTTGGGCAAGGAAGACTGGCTGTTACATGCACTCCCCTGACATGTGTTTGCTCATGTCAGGGCYGCTCTGTGATGTGCAGTGAACTCTGTAAAATCCAGGTTCTCAGTTCTGGCAGTAGACTCAAATCACACACTGCATTTTAAACCTGCCTGCTCAGGGCTTGTCAACCTACTAAACAKGAGTGACACCCAACCTGCCCCAAGCTTTGGATTTCTTTCCTTGGGAAAGTTGACAACACTATGTTTGTCAGTGTCATTTTCTGACCTGCTGACATTGGTCAGCTTCCTGCTGCATGCACAAATTAAAACGCTAAATAAAGAGGTGAGAAAATGCAGGAAAAGTGAAGCAAACCCTAGAGCTCAAGACACTGGTAGAAAGAATTTAAYCAAACCGAACTACTATAGTCTACAGTGTTTTCTACTTTCTTGTTCCTGTGACAAGCAGTCCAAGGCACACACCAGTCCCACTGCTGGAGTCTGTTACCAAGGTCAGAATTGGGGATATTGATTAATGAAAGACTGGAATCAGCCAACACCACCTGTATATTTAAATACCATAGGAAAATGCAAAACTTTCCCAACCAGCTGCTGCAGTAGAGTAAGGACCCTGACAGCTTTGGCTACAAAGGTTTAGTCTGTTTATTATTATTGTCTTAATTTAATAAGACAGAACAAAATACAAGTGCCATGAGAGAGAAACCTTTTACAGCTCACATCTGTCACACTATAACCAGCACAGCACAAACGAGACTGTGTGTACATATATATTGTATATTTAAAGAAACACAGATAATGCCAAACTTCCACAGCACAAGGAACAATTTCTCGGCAGACTGTCAACAAGATTTGTGGGTTTGTTGGGGGTTTAAAAAACAAWTTGAAAGCAATTCACTGATTACACAAGTTTGAGTGAAACAACAGACCTCACAGCAATCATACAGTTAACACTTGAGGATYGAGAACCAGTGGTCAGAAATATATTCTGAGTTTTGTTCTCAGTGCATTCCATCGTGAGGTCAATGCAGTGGCATGATTAACACAAAAATTTATGACTAAATGCATTAATTGTGTGCATGTGTATATGCACACGTGGGAAAAACACAGAACAAAGACAGCAGAATTGTTTCCATCATCCAAATTGCACAGAAAACATTAAAACAATTTTCACATAAAACTGTCACCACAAATTGAAAGGGGAGAATCCCAAACTCAGACCACTCCCTCTACACACAGGTGAAACCATTTGCATTATTTAGAATAAATCCAGCCTGGAAACAGGCCACATCCAAGGTCAGATGTAAACAACTTCAACCAAGAAGGTACAGTTCAAATCTGGCATTGGAATCAAGTGAATTTTGTGAACAGAATTTCAGTGCCAAATACTTTATGCAAAACAATCCTTTCAGTCTATGCTGAGTTAAAACATACCAAATAAGAATTAATTCTCAAAATCTTTTGTTGCTTCTTTCTCAATTTGGTAACAAATTCAGCACATGCAAAGTCATTTGAGTAAGATCACAGATAGACACGTTCTCATAACCTTCATTATAATAAATAAGTTTCCTGTCCAGAGACAGAAGTCAAGGAACCAAAAGCAATGAGCAGCTTTTCCAGGCAATTTTTACCTCTTGATGTGCATTAGCTCTGGAGGAGGTTCACTAAGGAATCCAGGTACCCTGCCAGCCCTTGAACTCATTTTCAAGTATCTTTCAGCTAACTATACACATAAAGGATTGATCAGATTCTGTTCCATGGTACACATGAACACAACCCTGGCTGAAAAATGTCATTGAAGGCTACAAAGTATTTATGTTCATATAAAAAGAGAATGTATGGTACACAGTGTTTAAATTAATAAATAAGAAAATTACAGAAAACAAAGTGTTGCCACTAGCCCTTTCTAGAATGAATTTTAGAAGAAAAGTCCATTTAACTTTCAGTCCACCAGGAAGTACGTAGGAGTTCCATCAAAAAGCTGTGCTTTTAAGTATCTCTGGATTTTCTTCTTCCTCCTTGGAATCCCTCGTGCTACTAGATGGAGGCCTGTATTCCAATCTGGGGGTGGAAGAAAGAAAAAAAAAACTTTAAAACCAGATGAGACAACTGAGAAAAAAAAATCTGAGTCCTGTTTGACAATACAGCCTCCTAATTTTAATATTCTGTTGGTCTCAGTTGAACAGGTTCCTTTCTAATACCATGTCTGTGCTCATGTGTCATCTTCAATCAGAGCCATGGCAAAAGGCCAAACACTCTCAATGTCTTTTAGATCTAAAYTGGAAGAGTTCAGCCCTTCTCCAGCACTTAGGAAACTTTCAGAACACAAAAAAAATAGATTATAACCCACATGTCTCTATACCTTGATAACGCAACACACTCTTAAAATGCATTCCTCAGATATACTTCTAGTAAGTCATGAGAGTAAAATGATAAATTTGGAGCTGAGAGATGTACACATGAACATTCACACTCGGGAAGAGGGACCAAGACTTCAGTCAAGCATTTGTATCTTCAACAGGGCTTCCTYTGCTGCCAAAACCAGCCTCTTCCTCTGACCATACTTAGGCAAGTGCACTCCTCAGGGCAGAGACACGTTAAGGTCAGGTGGCACTTACCCTTTCACCAGCAGCATTTGATCAATGGTGTCAGGAAGAGGCATACCATAGCTTTCAGGCAGAAATAGTGTCAGAATTCCTGACAGCACAGTCAGGCTCCCCATCAGGATGTAAGGCAGGAATCGATCATAGGCACCTAGTATAATACAAAAAAGGAAAGAAAATAAAAATGCAGCATCAGCTCTAAGTCTCTGATAGTYRCCCAGAGAAGCTGTGGATGCCCCAGCCCTGGAAGTGTTTAAGAACAGGCTGGACAGGGCTTGGAGCAGCCTGGTCCTAGAGAAAGGTCGGCAGGGAGGGGGAATGAGATGATCTTTAAGGTCCCTTCCAACCCAAACCATTCAGTGGTTCTGTGATGTTTGTACCAAGGCACTGGGCTTTACCTGTSCAAGATTTGTGCTTTCAATAGAACAAAACCAACCAATCCCAATCCACAGCCTGACATTTGCAGTGCATGTTATAAAKGTGGCTGTAGGAACTCAAGGGAGTGGGAACAAAAAGCTGTAAGAAGTGTCCTTATTGAGGCAATCCAACTGAGGAYTGAGTCCCCAGAGCACCTCTCCAGCAGCCCAGTTAACTCACCAAGGTAAACAAAGTAAGGAGAGAGGATGCTGCCCAGCCTGGAGGCCATGGAGCTCGCTCCMACTCCCATGTTTCGCACCACTGTTGGGTAGAGCTCAGCCGTGTAAACATAAACCATGGAGAAGGCAGATGTGATCCCAAACTTCCCCAACATCACCAGAAAAATAGACAGAGCACGGATATCTGAAATGCAAACACAGTAAGGACTTAGTCAAGCTCTGGCAATTCATGGTATCCTTAATTCCTTTGTGTTTGTGTAACTCCTGCCTAATTAACTCCAGTATCTCGGGTCTTTTTTCCCCTGTACATGTCCACAAACATAAACAATGTTCTTTTTAAATTTTTTTCTTTTTAAAATTACTAGAAGTCAACATTTCCATTTTCTCTTGAGAACAGGGCATCCTGCCAAGTGAAAAATAARGAGAACAGAGCCAGAACTGTTGAGATCCTCTCAGGTTTCAGAGGCCAGACCCCTGCTATTGCAAAAAATACCATATAACCCTTTTTAATAAAGTGAACAGAGTAAAACATTGGAAACAAGTTATTTTATTTTGTTTCCTGCTCCAGTTTTTCATTAACATTCTTAGCTACAAGTCAATAATTTAATTATAGGAAGTTGGGTTGACTTTAACTGGGACAGTTAAGATTTGAAAATCAAAACAGATCATATCAGTGTCTAATTGACTCAAAGAACAGGGAGAAAAAAAAAACCCTGAGAATGCAGCACACATACTACCTGCATAAAATAAGCAAGGCAATTTTTGCACATTCTCTTTTGTATATTCTTTGATTTGYAAATGTGTCTTAGGCAACACCACCTCCCCTTATATTCAACATCATTATCAGTAATGGCCCCATAACCCTATTAATCTAACTGGACTAAAGATACATATGGTTTGAGATCAAATAAATTTTACTTGGCCCTCCTTTCCAATAGCTRCCCATTATTTTAACTATCAGCACTAATTCAATACAAGCATCTCTGCTTATCAAAAATGCTTTCACAATGACTCCACTGAACATAACTCTTAAAACAAGCCTTAAAGTCATCAATAGCTATTTGGGAAGTGAGTTCTGCAGCCTCTTGGTAACTTCCACTTACCAAATTCTGGTTGGTCCCATCCTGGTTTTACCAGGACACCCTGCCAGGGATGTTCTTTACAGGCAAAACTGGACTACAACWCTAATCCCAGCAGATCCCAAAGCCAATGACCCACCTTTCCAACTGTATCTGAATGACATGTGGGAGCTCCTTGTTCAGCAGCACTGAGAACCAAGGAAGAGGGGCAAAGATAGGACAGGAATATCTGTATTTAGTCCCCTCAGGACACTTTTCCTCCACATCTGCCCCGTGCACAGGGGCAGGTAGTCACCTATCATACATATGTGAGATCAACTAACGATTCCATACGTGAAGGCACCAGCTGAATGAAGAGAAGAACACAGCCTCCCAAGAATAACGCAGCAGCCATTGAGTACCGTCGGGGGAGATTGCGGAGCAGCAGCCACGAAATGATGTAGGCTGGCACCTCAATCACTGCTGAGAGGAAGCAGTTCACATACACATCTCCATGCAAGTTAGGTGTGTCAAGAGAAAGTCCAAAATAGCCAACTGAGATGATCATCCTGGAAGAAAAAAATGGCAGGGTCAAACAAAACTCTCCTTTTCCTGAGGTTGCCATGAACCTCKTCCACATCTTCCCCAAGCACAGAAATGGCTTGTAAGGCAAATTCAGCATCTGGAAGACTTTTCACCTCTGAAGCAGCAGAAGTGCTGGCTTCAGAAAAAGCAAGGTAACAATTAAACCATGTGGATGCTTTTGATATTTCAAGTTGTTCTTGAATTCAAAGAATAAAATATATTACCCTGGGAGGTAAGTGATGACCATTCACACTGCAGTGATACAGCAATTGTCATTACCATACCAATACCAAGTTTATAGCCTTAACCAGAAAATCTGAGCTATTGAATTTTACTGCTGCTAAGGCCTACACCAGYTTCCCATTATGTTTACCAGGGAGCTCTGGGTGGAGAGCATTGTTTCTGGGTCGTTATGCTCCATGCTTTCTGTACAAAGTCAGAGAGGAGGAGTATGGCATCCTGGCAGGCCCAGACAGCRCAGGACTTTCTCTGCCATGCCCCAAGCTGGCTGGGCAGTATCCAAATCACACTGRCATGGCTGGGTGCCTGGACTGGTCAGTGCAGCAGGACAGAGCCTGGTGGCTGGAATGCTGCCATCTTAGCTCTCTGCCAGATGAGAGCTGATTTGCATGTGATCCAGGGAAACACACCTGGCCCTGGAGACAAACCCTGCCGTGTCTTGGGAGATGCTGGTAAACAAGGAAATAATGGGCAGTGGATCAGGACACGTCCAGGTACAAACATGAGGCACAGAAMCACTGGCACTTCCCCTCCTTCAGCATCTATGAACTGAACTGGAGCAAATTCATTGCACAGCACCAAGGGGTTCACTGACAAAATATTAGCTCTTCCTCCTCCTCACTGCATATTAGAAGACCCTTCATGATCCAATTACTTCAAACAAAGTTGCTGAGTGTACCTGGGAAGGTATGAAGTGACACAGCTGAGAGTAAACCTCTGCTGCTGTTGAGCCCTGCCCTAAGCCATTCTTCTCAGAAGCAGCTCTGCAATGTTTTTCACACCACAGTGCAACACACCCACCCCGTGCTCCTTGGAGCTATTTTTATGTACAATAAACCATAATGCTGGAACTCCCTTCCGGTAGCAATTTGCCTTAGCTTATCACATTGGCAAACCTTGATATAGTTAGATATTTTGTAGGAAAGCTTTAGTAGTATTTACATATTCCAGGGTGCCAAGAAGCCAAACTTATTCATCCTTGGTGCAAACCATGCAAAGGGAATAGTTTAATGTTCTGTTACTTAGTCAAAATTAACAAAACACTCAGCGCTATGTAAAGGTGATACACTGCTCTCTGCAATTATCCTCTTTTACTGCCCTTTTAATTCATAATACAGGGTATACCATGAGTTGGAAAACCCATTGCTGTGAGTAAGTACAAGATGCTTTACATTTTGGGAAATTAATTTAAAGGAGGTTAGGTCACTGTCATGCAAATTAGAATAGTGAAAAAATTGCCCCAACTAACTGAATACTTTTCTGCAAGAGGAGATAAGATTGTGCAAGTCAACTGTTTGACTCTTTCTGCCTATCATAAAACTTGATTTTTGATGTGGTAAAAAGCCCTTTAGAATGGGTTACTGAATCCAACAAAATGGATTACATCACTATTTCTCTCAGCTGCTTCATCCTATCAGAAGAGCTGTTCAAACAGATTTTGCATTCTACAACCACACACACAAAACTGGCTGTGCCCAGGAGTTACTGCTCTACATCAAGCAGATGAGGAGTAGGGCAGTCTCACTTCCAATTAAATGTGAGAGTCAGTGACTGGAATTGGGAGGTAAGACATTATATAGACACTTCATTGATGTTTCTGAAAGGAACTAACATTACTCTTCTTTTTGAACTGTTTTTTTTTTGCACAAATTCCCTTCTCAGTGTGTTTGTAGCCTTGTGCTTGGTGACGGGCCAGAGAATCTGGCTTAAATATTAGCCAAGTCATCCTTTGACCCAAGATGCCACATCATCTTGTGTGTGCTGGCAGGTCAGGGGGCTGAAATCCAAGGCTCTGCCTCATTAGGCACAGGATCATTGTTCAAAAAGGCAGCAAATAGACTTAGATGGTTCCCAAGCACTTGAGGGACCTTCTTGGCTTGGGCACCAGCAACAGGTACTAATTAAACCTCCCTTGTACAGCCTCTGGCAGCTTAAGTTACCCTCTCTGCTCACAGCTTTACTGAGATTTCTAGTAAAGGAAAATAATAACCATTTAATCAAATGGAGCATAAAGTATGGCTTCAGCTAGTGAAAACCAAGCTGAAGATGGCAAGTAGATTGAGCAGATAGCAGGAAAATACAGGGAAATCTCAGCTGAGAACTTCAAAGGCAGCTTTATCCCTTTAAGAGCCAATACAAAAGAAACAGAAAGATTCTGCCCTAAGTCAGGCTATATGTTCTGACCACTCGGCAGAAGCTCTCTGATTGGGGGGTAGGGCATGAGTCATTCCTCTAAAAAGACCTTGTTACAGTCAGAAGAGCATTCCCCAAGGCCCAGGATCAGGCAGCATTCCCACACATCCTTGCCAGCTGATCGGATTCTTGCTCAGTCCAGGATAAGCCTAATTGCTTCAGAAAAGAACAACAATCCAGATGTGTTTCTACACTGTCACCAAAATGAAGAACCTATGTAACCAGAATTCTGTTGTTTCAGCCAGCTAGTCATCAGTTTTTGAGCTGGTTTTGTCTGTATCTTTTCAGAATACTTTAGTGTTTAAAGGTACAAATGCCTGGATCACACTTGCTTACCAAAGCAGCACTGACATAATTGTGATAGTTAGGATATTTCGGGTTTTCACAAGATCCAAAATGGTGTATGTCTGCTGCTTCTCGGAATTCACATCTTGTAGCTGTAAAAGAGAAAACAACAAACAAAACACAGGAACTTTGACTTCCTGCAAAAATAATTATGAAAGTAAGTCCCACCACCAGCTTATACCTCAGTATTTTGATTTGCTGAAACAGGTGCCTGACTTTTAACAAAACACATMCAAGAACCAACTGCTTGTGAAAGTAGAAGCTGCTCCCTAACTTAAAGTCACTTAAAATTTAGACTGAAACTTTTCACTCTCATGACCAGTGACAGGATTCATGGAAACTGCATGCACTGAGTCAGGGGCAGTTTAGATTGAATATCAGGGAAAAGTTCTTCCCCCAGAAGGTGACTGGGCAGTGGAACAGGCTCTCTAGGGCAGTGGTCACAGCACCAGCCTGACAGAGCTCAAGAAGCATTTGGACAATGCTCCCAGGCACATGGTGTGTGACCCTTTGGGGTGTTTTGTGAAGGGCCAGGAGTTGGACTCGATGATCCGTGTGGGTCCCTTCCAGCTCAGCACATTCTATGATTGTAATCATTTTCTTTGCGGGAGGCTTCACAAAACAACTGCTTTTTGTTACTTGAATTACAAAGCAACAACATTATTCATTATTTATATGTCACTGCTGGAAGGGTTTTTACATACACTTTTGAGCACTACACCTTGAGAATCAGGCGAATCAACTGCACTCAGACTAGAAGAGAGCAAGGATGGTGTGACATTTGAAAAAAAAGTAAAGGGTTTCTTTAGCCTAAGGGCAAGAAGACCAAGGGCATCTTAAAAGATCCAGAATGATCTTCAAATATCAGCAAAAAAAGTGATAAACTGTCCTCTRTGGCCACTGCAGACACAGCAACCAATAACAAGATTAAACTGCAGCAGGGCAGAATTAGCAGATGAYTCCTCATGCTGGACCTAAGAGTAATGTATTTAAAATGAAACAAACTGGCTAATGAGCTGTAGAGTGCCCATCATTATCTAGTCTGTTTTTGAGATCATCTAAGACTATAAACAAAAAGACAACAAACTTCTTCTTTCCCCATTAAACTTTCCAGCCCCTCAACAGAAAATCACTTCTATGTAAACAGTGCAAGAGTATTCATCCATTAAGTATGAGAACAAGTTTTGTGCTTGGTAAGATTGCATAAAAGGGAAGAATTATTTTTTTTTAAATTAGGACTTTATTTTAGACCCTTAAGGAGGGGGAGAAAAAGGAGAGATTTTTCAAAATATAGAAAGGGTGATTTAAGAGGACAAATTCCATTGATTAAAACTATCAACTCTGATAAAGCAACGTGGAGTTTGTGTAACCTCTGCAGTGAGGTGAAAATTCTTTCTAAGTGATAGCTGGTTCTGCAGATCTGGACAATGAAATAGCAGTCTGGTTCATTACAAGTTTCAGTGTATCTGCTTTCATAAATCCCATTTTCTACAAAAGCAAACAGTCATTTACCTTTGATACTTTCACTCTGCCTGAAGCCAAACTTACATCACACAAACTGCAGTCACTTCACAGCTCACAGCCCTTTCTCATAAATCACATGATCTTTCCTAAGTATTCTCCAGTTCTGCCACTATTTGTTGCCAAGGGAACAAGGAAAGAAAAAAAAAATAAACAAGCAAACCATAAAACAAAACCACGAACAGAAAAAAATCAGTCAGTTGATAAGAAAAAGGGACCTTGCCTTTTAAGAACTGGATAAGCAGACAACATAATCTTTACCCGGACTGGCTCGGACAAGAAGCTATGAGAGAATGGCAAGAAAGCCAAAATGATGGTTTGAAATTAAACCTATAATCCAAGCTTTTCTATCTCCCTCTTAAGGACAATTCAACCAACAGGCCCTATTTGTGCTCCACAGCAGGTTTGTGACTTGTCACCTGCTGGACCCCAACTGGCTTGAAATCTCTGGAGTCAAAATTCTGCAGCTGCTGCTCTCCAGCTGCACGGGTTTGAGGGACTCTCAAAACATAAGCTTGACTGACTCTTCCATCCCAGCCTCACATTCCAAATGCAGGAGGGAAAAGGGCCAGCCAGATTTCTGAGAACCTCTCTGCAGCATAAACATGCTCCCTAAACCCTCAAGAGGCTGCRGGCCTTCTGCTTTCCAGCTCTTCAGAAAGCAGACATGAGAATGGTGTAAACACACCACTGATGCAGAGTTTTGCACAGATATTTTGGCCACAGCATTACTTCTACCCTACACAGCAAAGAGATGGACAGAGTGCTCCATGTTCATCAAGCTAATTTTCCTTTGGTGGTCACATAGCATGTTTTTGAAAACCAATGTTCAAATATCAGCAAATATGTACCACATTCTCCAACCCACCCTGCTGCAACATCAGCATTTCCCCTGGTCCAGCATTTTCTGGGACAACATCCCTAATCTTGCCCCCGCCTTCTGCTGCTATTCAACCCCATTCAGAGAGAGCAAACACATCAGTATTACTTTCTAAGAAAAAGAGAGAGGATTCCAGGAACAGTGAAATTAGGCACATGTTGGAACTGGAGCTTATTTTCTGATCTGCTGCAGTGCTGGCAATAGATGAGTTCTCATGGCTACAGCATGAGAAATTAGAATACTATACCTTTTCCTTCTTTTTCTTCTTATGAAGATCCAGAGAAAAAAGTACCAGGAGGAGGGGGTTTTYCTGGCATTCWCACTGWTCCAGTAATACCAGGATGTTTGCCTTACTATCTACTAGTAAGTCTGRACAAACAGCTTTGAAACAGCTTCCCTTGGTGCAGACAATCTCAACAGCAAACAGCTACAGCTTCATGGCTTCCCATTCTCCTTAGCCAGGGAAGAGGCATTGTAAARCAAATGAGGAGATTATACTCATTATATATATATGGATTTCCACTTAAATGACAAGACACTGTCAATTGTCAGCCAGTAATCGCCCAGACAGATTCGAAAGATCTGTGAGGAAGGTGCCCATTCTCCTGGAGAATGCAAACAGTTTGTCTGTCTTGACTTTTAGAGATCATATTTGAATGTGTATGGAACTGCTTCTGCACCTTAAGGGCACCCATCATTTCAGACAAAAAGAAGATTTCCATTGAAAACAGGGCCAGTGGGAAGAAAGAGATGGAAAGATATCTGTAAGTACTTCACCTGAACGGAGCTTAACTTTTGCTTTCCTTAATGTGGATGAGAAATTGGAGTTGAAGATGAACTAGAATAACAATATTTTCAATGCCACTGGGCAGGATTAGTCCTGTGTTAGATTTATATAGAGTTATACTATACACAGAATAAGCTCAGAATCTGTTTGGTGCAAGCCTTTAGAACACTGAGCAATACGCATCTCAAATTCATTATCCTCCCCTGAAAAATAGTGTAAAAGGAATACAGGTGGCTGTAAACTGGATCAAAAAGATGTTTGCATTAGAATGMATGTTGGCATTCCCATGGGAATGGGACTGCAAAGGCTTTGCAAATCTTAATGAAGGGAAAGCTATTGTGCTTTTCAGTAGAAAAGGATGATCTTTCACCCACTTGGGAAACACATAATGCAGCGTAGGCAAAAACTCCATTCATCTGTCTGGAATTAACTGCTTTGCATAGAGTCCAGCAAACAACTGGACTGCTAAACAAATCTTACCTCGCTAGGGTCAAGTATTACATCTGGGGCTGTAATGCCATTCGTTTTTGCAGCTTTTCGGATGATGTCCTCTGCCTCCTGAAACCTCCCCTGAGAGATCAACCACCGTGGAGATTCTGGAATGACCCTGCAGAGAAGGTTCAGAATAATAAGCATTTCCATGGAAAGCAATGCTGAAGGCATTGTTCCAGCCAGGAAGATCTCCAAGCATGCCACATCTTGCAGGAATTAGTGCAGTGACAACAGAAATCAGATTTACAAGAGATTTACAAGAGCAGACTAGTATAAGGAACAAGACCAGACTAAGATGCCTTTATGGATTTCAGAAGTACTGAAGGAATTAGCAATGACTCAGAAAAAGGAGCAATCCAAACACTCAAAGTATAGGAAAACAGATTAACTAAAGAAAYTCAGAAATGTGAACACAGCATGCTGTAGATTAAGAAGCATATCCTTAGAGGCTAACACATGTAAAATAATGACTGTAAATTCTGTCACAGAAAGGCAAGCCAGAGAGCAGAATTCCCCAGTCATTCGATTGCGTAAGAACCTGGATGGAATTACAAACACAACTGCTACTGTAAGTGAAGGAACACCACCACCATGTGGACTACTTCAGCTTTACATGCCACCCAAAAGGAGTATTTTAACAACTTCAGAAGAGAACATGCAAGTCCCACAGCTGTGCACGTACTGCTTTGTAGTTTGTCATATCTGTGTCACCCACCAATTCCTAGAACAACTGGGTTTTCCTTCYGCCCTTAGTTCACACTTAAAAGCCTGTAGATTTCAGTTGGTGCAGAAGTGTGAGTTTTACTGACATTTTCTTTTGCTTTCTTTGCATGTGCAACACTTAATTTTACAGAAGCCTATAAAAATGAAGAGTAGGTTTTTCAGGCATCAGTCAGATCCCATACAAAGCCGTGGACTGACGACTAAATGACTGCAAAGGGTAAATGATACAACATCCATTCTTCACCTACCCATTCCTGAATTTCACTGGCTTGGAGTGATCTTAAAAATCTGCAGACAGGACCTTCTAAGGAGTAAAGTAAGTTAAGGACACTCACCACCAGAGTGGGATGAAGAGCAGCCCGGGCAGGGTGAGGGCCAGCAGCAGCATCCGCCAGTCTCGGATGAAGAAAGCAAACAGAGGCAGCAACATGTAACCAAAGGCGTAAAATACGCACACGCCCAGGGTGCAGAACAGCACACGGATGGATTTGCCAAGGATTTCTGTGCCTGTTCAAAACAGCAAGTGATTGTCAGCATTTTAAATTAATAGCAACCAAGTAACTAAATAAAAATACCCCAAGCAATTGGCTTTGAAATGCACTGMACGGCAGAGTTGTAGGATAGAGCACTCTGCTGTCCAGCTGGAGAGGCACCACAGAGYTGCTTCATGCCATGATCCTGCATCAACTGAGGTAATTAAGAGTATAAAAGAAYGAGAACTGGCCACATAACATTTCTGTAGTTCAAAGTAGCTCCTATTTCTGTAATTTTATCTTTTCAGAATCTCACATTTTACTTGAGGAGCTGAAATCACCTGACATTCTCAACAGTTAACCTTAGCTTGATCTCCAGAGAGCTCTCTCCAGCTTATGGAGAGTGATCAGCTTCTGTAAAGAATAATTCAAAGGTGCCTAAACTATGTATGTATCACCTTTTTTGTTTCCATGGAAATCAAAGAAGATTCCAGCAKTTGCAGCAGGCTGTGTGCAGTGAGATTAGCTAAGCACTGCTTTCACCCCTGAACTGGCCTTCCTTGGCTCAAAAAGAATTTCTTGCCACCATTTGGTACTTTGGACAGTGAGGTCACTGTAAATAACATTAGTAATTAATTCTTTAATCATCTCAGATTCATGAGGTAATTCACATTCCCATGATTAAACAAGGTCTTAACTTGAAAGTACACAAAACAAAAGGCATAATGACATTTCAAATTTTACTATAGGCTGTTTAAAGACTTTAAAAAAATTATTCTATCTTGGTTCTTTTGCAGCTTTTAAATTAAACAGGTATTTAGGCCCCAAAATAGACATCAAAAATCCCAAAAAAATCATAGAACCATAGAATGGTTTGGGTTGGAAGGGAACCTAAAAGATCATCTAGATCCAATTCCCAAAAAATGATGTCTCACATGTCTTATCTCTCCAGCTAGAAGATGGACTTTATTTCCAAGTTTTTGGGGTTTTGCCTCTTTTAGGATRATAAACCACACAAACAATTCAAATTGCACCTCTACCAGCTGGAAGCTTCCAAAGAGAAGACAAGTTACCCATGCATGGTGAGGCCACACTCTTAACAGTGCTGCTTGGCAAAACAAATCAACCCTAAGTCAGTACTGGAAAGGAGCAGGAAAAGCACAAGATGAAAGGACACATGCAGTGCCCAGCAGGACTTTCATACCAAGAACAAATGCTGCCACGTAGTTAGATATCTGTCCCATGCCAACCAGCACAAACAACACTGAAAACATCTCCCAGCTGGTAGAGAAGACCTGTATGAAACTGAAGACAGTCTGCATTGCCAGAGTTGCAAACAGCACATTCTTCCTGCCAAACCTTCCATGGACAGATTAAAAAAAGAAAGACAGGGGAAAAAATATGATTAAACAACATAATGAATGAAATCTTTAGAAACAGAAAAATAAAATTACTTATATGCACAGAAATACAAAACTTCTGCAAAAAGCAGAGGTTCAGGAAATGTGACATGCAYAACTATTCTAAACACATTAAAAAAATCACTGGCCAAGAGAAAGCAGTATTCCAAGGGCTGCTAGTTAAGTTGTCTTTAAGTGTGTGCTGGAACACCATTCCTTTCTTACTGATAGGAAGAGCAGGCAAACAATTCATCAGGAACAAGTTACTTAAAATGCAAGAGTATCCAATGTTTCTCCTCCTCCAAGGAGCACACAACCCATGACACAGAGCAACATATTTAAAAAAAGAGAAAGAAGGAAGGCTTCTGGAAGAGAGGTGAAATTCAATCTGGAGGACGCTATTGTCAGTCACTGATCCCATGCCACAATCTTCATTCCATTTGGTTTGAAAAGGATCAGAATTAAGGGATTCTAGAAGGTCTCCAGATGAAGTATTTTTAAAAAACCCAAAAACCAAAGAGAAAAGAAATTCAGTTAAACTCAGCCATCAATTTTCTGTAGGAGTGGTTGCTGATGTGCTGGCCCAGGCAGCCCTACACTGCCAGGACAGGACGTGCTGAATGCACAGCTCCAAAGCCTGAGCTGACCTGCATGATTAGAGCCAGTGCCACGGGCATCAGGTGGGTCACAAGGCATGAAGAACAGACTGTTACTTGAAACCCCAAATATATTGTCAAAGTCCATGTCTCAGGGTCAGTGCAGACAGCAGAACACCACAGGCAGCCTCACTGGAGCACTCTCCTCAGGGACAGAAGGAGCTCTTGGCCATGAACCTGCTGTCCTTCAGTGGCTACRAGGAACTGGACGGGCTGCATCGATGGCCTCCTCGCCTGCCCCTGGGGAGATCTGGGACACCACGGGAAGGAGCTGCAGGGGAGTGAAGGTGGGAAGCTCATGGATTCTGGCACCAGAACAGCTCCTGCKTCCCCTGCTGAGTAGTCACCACAGGAGATGCTCAGGACCCTTATGGCAGACAGGGAGCTCTTTGGGGCAGCAGCATCAGGAAGAGGTGGTGAGAGACACCCCACAGGGAAGAGGGGAAATCACCCCTCATGTGGGAGAACAGCAGAAGGCATGTTCTGCTGTTCTGCTGAGGCAGAGCACAGCAAACCTCCTCATGTCCAAAGGCACTGGCCATCAGAGGGGCTTTGACCACTCCAGGACATGCTGAAAGGGCAAGACCAGGAGGTTTCTGGAGCTCATCARTATGACTTCCTGACACAGATGGCTGAGGAGCTGACAAAGGGAGACACTGCTGGACCTCACACTTGCAAACAAGGGAGAACTGTCTGGGGATGTGAAGGCTGTGCAGTGGAGAAGAGCAGGATCATGAGGGGGGAACAAGGCAGAAGGCAGGATCACACAGAGAACAAACATTGGCCTGCCCAGGGATTTTTCTGGAAAAAAAGYCATGGCATATAGCTTTGGAGAGAAGTACAGGATGACTGGTTAAGTTTTAAAGATTATGGYACAGAGATTATGTTTCAATGAAACAAAAACTCTGCAAGTATCAGCAAATTAGAGGACCATATGTTGTTCTCAGGGAATCAGGAAGAGAGCACACAATGTATTGCACAGCAAATCCCAGGGAGAGAATCAGAAAATCTGAGCTTTACAAAATACAAACAGCTATCAGCAGTACCAAAATTAATGGCATCTTCCTTTTTTTTTAATGATGGTACTGATAAACTAGAAAGTTTTGCTTCTGTGGAGTACAGCTGAACAGCATTTTTGATTTGGAGCTTCCACAAACACAGCTTATTGGATTACATGCTGTATTTGATGATGAGAAAGAAAAGCTATAGAGGTTTATAAAAAGAGAGTTTCAAATTTGACCTAAATAAAAAGGAAAACAAGCCTCAGAGATCCTCTCAACAYAGTCCAAAATAAATAGAAGAGAATGTCATTGATCTGATTTTTCCAGGTGAAATTTATCTTCTACACCTGTTTTCTGGCATAAAACCAGTTTACTCCAGAGTGATTTCATTGCAAAAACAAACAGACRTAGATAACACCTACTAACAATCTTTGTAACGTTCTGTTCTAGTTCAGGACATTTCTCTACACACTCTGTGTACATTCAGGTTAGACAGAACAAAGACATGTTAGTAGTTGCAGAAAGACACTTATAGGAAACTTGACATACAGAAACTGCCTACAAACGAGCATCAAAGARCCAGCAGCTCTGGTGTATATACTTTACTTGTCTGAGAGCTGTCCTGAGATGAAAGATCCCAGCAGGACACCCACAAAGAACAGGGAGGTGCTCAGGGGTCCCTTCCAGTCGTTGGCACATACGAGATTCCACTGCAGGGAGAGAGAATTAGAAAGTCTTTTAGTAAACAGGATTTCCCCTCCCTCCTAAACTCTGCTGAGCTGGGTTTGGAAGGAGTGAGAACAGAATTACAGAACGGTTTGTGTTGGAAGGGGCCTTAAGGACCATTTCATTCCACMCCCCTGCCTTGGGCASGGACACSTTCCACCATGCCAGGCTGCTCCAAGCCCCRTCCWACCTGGCCTTGAACACTTCCAGGGMTGGGGCAGCCACAGCTTCWCTGRCAACCTGTGCCAGGGCCTCCCCACCCTCACASGGAAGAATTTCTTCCTAATATCCACTATAAGCTTGCCCTCGGTCAGTATGAGGGCCATCCCCTCCTYGTCCTGTCACTACATGACCTTGTAAATGGCTCCTAAACTTGGTTTCTCTGCATATAGTAATGTTTCCCATTAAAAATTCACATTCCTAATTTAAGGAAAAATTAACTATAGATACAAGAATATAGAAAGAAAAARCCTCTATTATATTTTAATATGGTTTTGAGAGACAGGAGACTGTTCGTTCTTCACTGGGAATCTAACTAACATCAATTAGATCCTTTGGAATACAAATTGAAATATATACCAAACAAACCAAGATTTACAAAATTAAAACAAAAATGAGGAATMAAAGAAAATATTTATTGAATAAAGTCTTCAGTAGTTTCCAACCTCCTACCCAGTTCAGTCAGATGTTTWTGAAACAGCATTTGTGTTATTTTTCCATCTACATAAACAGCTATTATTAAAAGAGTCTCAGTTTCATTTTGGTTATCTAGGGGGGGAAAAAGTGCGTAAATATTAGAAGAAAGGACAAAACCCAGCAGGGATCCCTCATCCCCTCCTTCATAGCCGTCTTGTGACTGGAGGAGTTCCAGAGCTCTCCCACGACCAGGCTCCAGAGGGCAGGTGCTGCAGCCCTGCAGGAGAGGAACTGGGAGGCAACCAAYGCTTCTGATGTGAGACCAAACCCTCCTGAGCTTAGTTATTCAAACAGATCCCTCAGGGCCCCTTCTGACGTTTTAGGAATGGAAAATTTTAGATTTTAATCTGCATTAAAAAGGCCGAAATGAAAATATTCACCCTGACCTGAATAACTAATCCTCCTTGTCCCCCCATTACAAGAATTCAGTATATTATTTTTCAGTTTGTATTGGAACACTCTTCAGTGCTTTGATCTGCTCCATAAGAAATGCAGTGCTGTGTGTCCCAGCTCCACCATCCACCTCATCCGTGGGAATGCTGGTGTTTTGCTGTCTGCCAGTCCCATATCCTCAGCACTAAGCCTTTGACTCCAGGAATCTCACAGCTCTCAGCCTGCTAACAGCCATCTACAACTTCATCCCAGTCTACTTTTTAAGGTTCAAGGATCATTTAAAACTATGCACAGAATGAACAACACCAGCAATGGCCTTCCACTGCCAGATCCCTGTGTCAAAATGCAACTGAGCCATTGCTTATTTCATGGAATAGCATCCAGTTTTGAATTAGAACTGGGAACTGCTYCAGGGATGAATTATGGTCATTCACACAGCCTGCACTTTCATCAGCTGTCTAACTTTAGYTGCCAGCCCTTACACTATCTTGTAAGACAGTCATCATCATTATTATTTTTAAGGTCAAAATGCACCTTTTCTCAATTTGTAGCTGTATTCAAGCAATTTCCTAAGCTCTCCATTGATAAATCTGTTTGTGGTTTTATGTCTGAAAAATCTCTCCTTCTATCAGGTTTCATAACCCTCAGCATCACCCTTGCACTTCCTCCCCAGACCTTTTCAGCCTCACAGCACCTGAAGCTCAGATACCAGCACATCCCACCAACACCATCAATTAGTCATCACTACAGAAGTTCCTTCCAGAGGCATCACTACAGAAGTTCCTTCCAGAATTATGGCTTTCTAACAAATGCATCCCGCTCATGGTAAGGAGTTGAACTTACTTTAGTTATCAATATCATTTGCATTAAGAATTGTAATTAACATTTATAGTTAAATCTGTGTTATTCAACGGAAGCTGTACTTCATTATAAAGAAAGTTTGAGCCTTTCTGTGATGACCACAGAGGCTAAGCYAGCTAGGAAGCTTCAGTAAAATATATCTGGCAACTTGGAAATACCAGCAAATGATGATCAAATTCATAAAGGCCAAAGGTTTCAGTGGTTATGGWATGCCTTTACATGATAACACTTACCAGGGAAAAAAATACCACAAACACAAATCCTGCTATTATAAGACTTGCCTAGTCACAAAAAGCCATCTTTGTATCAACTACTGGAGCCAGACATCCTCAATAACAGAATTAAAATCTAGCTTGGTGATTAATCTGTCATTACTAAATAGCTCCTTACTTCCTAGCTGATCACCCTGTGCCTGTSAGTCCACCATCTCCTTTCATCTGTCCTACACCCTGCACTTTGGCACAAGACTTGCACAACATTTGGATTTCCAGACACTGGCATGTTTGTGCCCTATAACAAACACGTTCTTCAGATCACTGAGGTAGAGACCTTTCTTGGAAAAGTTCATGGTATTAAAATGTTTAGCACAGCTCTGCCAAAACCTTCTTGCACTGGAGGGTGGAAACAGAGTGGGMATTCAAATGTGGCAATGATTACCAGCTTGTTTTTCTGGCCTCTCTGTTAAAGCAGGGTGAGGAGTTGTCATGCTGAAGATCACTTGAACCAGGCACCAAAGTGAAGTTCAACATCAAATTTCCAAAGTAGAACCACCTTGGTTGTACAATACCAGTTATTTACAGGCTCCACAGAAGAACGATTAGAACAAAGGKATTTTAAGGTCCCATACCCTTTGCCCCAGTAAATAAATGTCAAAGTCTTCAATTTATTAAGGGCACACCTATATTGCTTGTCAGTGATATAGCATCAGCCCTCCAGAACCATTTTGCAACCATCCCCTTCCCTCAGCTGCACATTGTCCAACAGGAAATCACCAAAGCATCACTGGTAGAAGACCAGCATGGCAAAGAGAAGTGTCCCAGGAGTAGTTACTGATTAAACCCTGCTGCTGGCAGCRCTGTTTGGACACAGCATACCGTGACCCAGTGCTCTAAAACCATGTGCTATTTTCACTTCTTAGTATCCTTTGARCTAGCTTGCTAGCTGCAACAGCCTTTGCCCCAGTGAACAAGATAAGGTTAACCTCAGCAAGGTATCTGGGCTCCAAACAGGAGAAAAACATTTCCGCTGTTTTCAAAGAGCAGCTGCTCAYGTTGGAAGCATGGAGCTGCTCAATACTGGTACCCAACGACACAGAACATCCTTGCCCTATTTTGTTATACCTTTGGGACATCCTCTGCTGCAGTTTAAACTTGTCTTCTTACTCATCTTGTAGATATTTTGTGATTTTTGTACTTCCCAGACAATTCATCAGGTTGGGGTGATGTCTGTCAGCAGCCTCATGCCCAGCAGCAATGATCACCTGTACACCTGCGCTGAAGTGAGATAACGCACCTCCATAAGATTCCTGGCTGATGCCAGTCACTAGTGAGGACAGSAGGGAACAGGGGATGGGGAAAAGAGGACATGGAGAGGCTATGGAGATGACCAGGAATGTGGACAGCTTGGGTTAGAAGTGGGGGGGACCAAAAAGGAGAGGGACTGAAGCAGTTGCTTCTCAAGCACAGATCTGGGGCCTGAGTATGAAATCTGTTGCTATAAAGGCAAGCTCAGTGACAAAACTGAGAAGAATAAACACTATAAACTAGTCCCTCAGATCTCTTCCCTCCCACAAACACAAGACCCTTCCCTAATGCCATTACAAGAACACTAAACAAAGCTGGACCGTGACAAATACAAAACTTCAAAAGCCTTGCTTGGTTATACTCCCGTCCTAAAAGGGAAAGCCTTATAGAAGAAAGAGTTTTTGCAGTTACAAGATACTGTCTTCCCATTTCTTTATTTTTTTAAACTCTTTTCCTGTCTTGCTGAGAATAACATGCATAACTGAAAAATGAAGTGGGTAGTTCAATGCATTAAYATTTTCTTTTTTAAAATCAACATGTTAGCAAGACTTTCTGAAGCTAGGCCAATATCCTGTATTCTCTCCTTTCACTTGCTTCTCTCAGCAAGCAGAGGCAGGTTCTTCAAAAAATATGAGTCGCACAACCAAGTACTGACAACCTTTGATTCTGAATCTGGTTTTGTTTATATCCATACAAGTATTCTCTGCTTACTCAAGAGCTATGAGTGTTATTAAAACGTGTTTCCTTTGAAAACACATTTGTATATTCCAAATACTTAGAAGTTCTAGATGTTACATTGAAGCTTATTATCTAAAGYAAACAGAAATCTGTATCTACAAAATACACATTCTGCTTAATTTTTCTACCTCTAGTTGTTTTAAATTTTTTACAGAGATAAAACTTGCATARAACAGGAAGGAAATTGCCAAGTATTTTATAATTCCAGTACAGAAACTAAATTATTCCCCGCACATCACATTTTGAGATGGTTGGAAAAAAAGGAAATGGGGAATTTTCATCAGAAACKGAGAAACCTGAGCTGAGTTTGAATTGAAAAGTAAAGAGGACACAAAGGGAACTCTACCTTGTCACTAACTGTCCACGGTGCTTCTAAAAGAACACTGTTTCCACTTAACAGTATCAACTGTAGGCTTATCATTCTTTAACAATACTGAACTTATGTTGCAATGCYAGAAACACCTGTACTTTGTACAATTCTGAACATTACTGCATGATGTGCTTTTTAAATCACACCTTGAAAAACACAGCACTTTACAATTACCTTTATATACCTATCAGATATTCRTGTTTACCTACTAAAGGAAAACTAGATTTTCTTTTCCTTCTTCTGATAATAACACTAAGCTTTTGTACCTGCAAAGACCCAAAGGTCTTCCCACAGCTTTATCAGCTCCCAGGGSTGAGAAGTATGAACTTCAGACACAGATATTAACCTACAACGGTAAAAAAGGAGCACCTGTTTTAAAAGACAATAAATAATGGAGGTGTCTAACATTAATGAAGAGTTGGGTGAGAGCTGAAGCTGGATAACATGGGGGTGATTTACAATTCAGCTGTTGGCTCCACTCCTGCAACAGCCTGGTCCCGTGGAAGGYGTCCCTACCCATGCCAGCGGGGTTGGAATTAGATGATCTTTAAGGTCTCTCCCAACCCAAATCATTCTATGATTCTATCACCCTATAAATTACAATGTCTATAGCATAAGCATGTGTTTTTATTTTGGCAAAGCAAAACAAGACATCCCTGTGCCTTTCAAAAGGGTGAATATTGAAAACTGATTTACCAGCTGTTCCACAGAGACCATTTGTGTCCTTCCAGATGTCCCTGCTGCAGTTTCCCCTGCTTCCCTAAGCTCTGGCATAACCCACWGATCTCCAGGGACTGGGGGCTGACAGCACAGCAGGGCACTTGAACCYCTGGGGTGCAGAGAATGAAATCCTCTGGGCCCTTGTGTCTGCCCAGAACTTTCTCYCCCTGAACATCCTCACAGGATGAAGAGCCAGCCCTGTGCTGAGCCCCTGATCACCTGGCAATTCCCACCATGTGCATCCTTCCTCTGCAAAAGCCAACATTTCCTAAWGTCTGCTAATAGCAAAATGGACATAAAACATGCAAACCTGGCATGCACCACTTGCACTGATTTCAGACTGATGAACAGTACAACAACTTTTTAGAAGCTGAGGATGARTAAGTGTATCCAAAATCCAGGGCCTGTTTATGGTTCACTGTGTTAGAATTACTCTTGTATGAACTAAAATATTCTGACTGSTGTATCATCTAACACCTCATTATATCATATTTCCTGCACTCGTGCCCTTAACTCCACTGCTCAATTCTACACCCAGTTATTCTGTATAGCCCCAAAACAACMCAGGCTGGCAGAAGTTAACCTCTTCCCTTAATTACTCCTTGTTTAGTCCTTTTACTACCATGTATGAACTTCTACTACTCCTACATTCATTTTTAACAGGACTTATGGAGAAATCAGAATGACACAGATGGCTTCTTGAGCCAAAAAACCACTTTTCTTATCCCCTGAGTTACAGCATTTCAAAAAGTAAAAGACAGAAAGGGATTTTGTTACACTGGAGCTGGTTAACACTGCAGGCTGGCTAATAACAACCTTCTGCTGTCAGTCTGTGAGAAAAGAAAGTCCCTCTTCAACTGGGAGGGAAATGAATGTTTTAAGTCTCCCTAGAAAAGCAGAACCATAAACAAGGTTTCTCTAAAGTCCTTTTTGCTGAGAAATTCAGCAAAAACCTTTCTTAAAAAAAAAAAAAAAATCCCCCTTCCCCCTCCTAGTGTCAGCTACGGAAATCTGGGACAAAGGTCCTCATGATTATTCAACACGTTAGAGATATGCAACTAAACACAAGATTAGTTAATCATAAAAGCACCACCAAGCCAAGAAATTAAACAAGTTTAACACTGAAAACCTGTAAGTGTGTGAAAGGCCACGGCTCTTGCAAAACTCTCTCAGAAGTATTAATATTAAAGGGGAAAAAAATACCGCCTCAGTGCACGATGCCTGGGCAGACAAACATTGCCTCCCACGGACTCGGGACAGATGCCAAGTCACACAGACAACGGGCCAGGGCTGCGGAGCCTCAACACGGTGTGAGCAGCGCCCTTTTCTTATAGATTGTAAAACTCCTGCATGATGCTCCAGTAGCTCAAGACATTTTAATTGACGCCAAGCCAGAGCTGAGTGAAGAAGCTGCAGAGACAAAGCACCACGTCTAAGGCAGGATAACCAGCACAGCATTCTGAACAAAACCCGTGTGTCTGCCCATGAACAGGCCTGCCCGGGAAGATGCCAAGTGCCTTACGCTGCCCTCAGAATGCTCAGCCTTTCACAACAGTGCATTTCAGCAAGGACTGGGGCTTGGAAATTCCAAGCAGCTTTCCTCTTGAGGAGGACAGCAGTTCTTTAGAAATAGGTGAGGCAATGCCTTGTTCCACTTRTCAGAATCACTCAAGCCCTTGCCTGAGTTTCCAACAACTCCAKTGTCCCCATTTTCAATCCTCCATGTGCTGCCATGGTTCCTCTCCYATGTTCCCAGCCTCACCCAAGTCCTGTGTGCTCAGATCAGCTCAGGATCATTTAGTACKCACACCCATCACTATCCAAACACTCATCACAACCCATTCTGAAAAGCAAGAAACAATGGCAAACATAGATCCAGCTCCATAAAATGCATCTACAGGCAATGGGACTGTATAAACTTTGTAAACCTTCTGTAAAAGGCCTGTATTTGCAGTGAAACTCAAGAATTCCTCCAAAGTACTCCTCAAAATACATTTCCTTGCCTCTTAAGTCAACCTGCACCTGTGGGTTTGGACGGCTTTCATCTGAAACCAGTGACAATCAGCCCAGCTTCACATTTAGCTGGATGCCCAGACAACAGACTTGAGTCAAGGGATAAATCTGCACAGAGGAGAACCTGACCTGTCCCAGCAGATGAGCACAGAGACCAAAGCAGTGGGCACGACCAAAGCGGAGGCACTGTGGGTGCATGCAAAGTTCTGGGTCCTTTGAATAAAGCATCAAACCAGGGCTCCCCCACCTGAGCGTACAGCACAGCTCAAGATAACTTTAATTGTGAGAGTGGTGACACCTTGGCACACGCTGCCCAGAAAAGCTATGAATGCCCCATCCCTGGAAGTGGTCAAGGCAAGGCTGGACATGGCTTGGAGCAACCTGGTCTAGTGGAAGGTGTTCATGACCATGCCAGGGGACTGGAGCAAGTTGGTCCCTAAGGCCCCTTCCAATCCAAACCATTCTGTGCTTCTATGAGTTCTACYACCTTCATTTTTTTAAAGAAAGAAAACAAATGCTGTTGATCTCCAGAGTTCAAAGAGACATCTCTGTCACACCAAGCAAGCTGAACCCGATGCTGACCCTGCTCCAGCCCCTTGCACAGATACCTGATGAACCAAGAAGCAGTTACATACAGTGACCAGTCTCTGGGAAAGGAAACAGGTTGCACTTGGAAGCTCATTAGAGAAGCACAGAATGTTAGGGGACTGGAATGGACCTTAAAGATCATCTAGACCCTGCCACGGGCAGGGACACCTCCACTAGACCAGGCTGCTCAAGGCCTTATCCAGCCTGGCTTTGAAYATTGCCCAGGTTGGGGCAWCCACAACTTCCCTGGGCAACCTGTTGCAGTGTCTCACCACCGACACTCTAAAAACTTGCTTCCTCTTTCTTATGCAAACGAAAGCGAATAGCAGACCTCAAAATAAACTCGGCATGGCAGGTTTCACAGCAGATCAGTGCGCCGGCAGAAACCTCAGAACGCGGCGGAGCTGCGCCGGTGTTGCCACAACCCCACGGTTCTCCCCGGCATCCGYGGCTGCCCGAGGGTCCCCTCCCGCCCCCGCGGCCGCGCACCTCGGTGACGATGGTGGAGCGATARACATCGCGGCTGTACTCCCAGCCGTCCAGGCACGGCTCCTGCTCCAGCGCCTCCAGCTCCACGTCGGAGCCGGGTCGCAGCCCCAGCGCCGAGAAGTTGGCGAGCGCGGCCAGGCGGTAGCGGCGGCAGCGGCTCGGCACCTCCTGCCCGCCCCGCTGCTCCAGCGGGATGCTGGCGTTGCGCCACTCGCCGCTCAGGTTGGCCCCGCGGGGCACGACGCACCGGTGCTCGGGGGTGCC